CAGGTCATTATACACTAATACAAACATACCTATGAATATTATATTGCATTTCTGCCAATAGATCCTCCTGAATGTTACACACTGGACATTTTAAGTTTAAAAAATAAACTTTGCTTTTGAGAAAATGGATGGATAACTGTGAAACTGAAGCTTGTACGTGCTACAGAAGTGCCGAGTATAAAACAGGACGATGCTCCATTTCACTTCACATACTGAAAGGTTTTTAGAGTTTAAACGTAAGGTCATTAAATGTTTAGGTCTCCTGTCATGAAACCAGTTGATAATATATTTTGAGAATTGTATAGACTTTGTGGAGGCATGTGCTTGTTGTGTCTGCCAGTGATACTGAACCATCCTGCTGTGAACAACATTGTCAGTCAAAGCTGTTACAAGATTTTATCACCCAGTTAAGCTGCCTGCAAATGAATCGGGTGTCCACCTCTCCCTTTTTGTCTCCTCCTCTTGCCTCGTTCTTGCAGAGCACACAGGAAACACATCGCCCAAGTCGATGTCCTCTCTCAAATGTGAGTTTGGTGATGAGGCCGGTGAGATCTCCATCGCAGTGCCTCAGCCATCTGTGTATGTTAATGGAAGCCATGCTTACAACGTCAAGCCCCGGGACCCAGGCTCAGGAAAACCGGCAGATTCTTTAGGCCTGGGACTTTTGCAGAAGTCTTTGCCTCTCTCCATGTCTCTACAGAACCTCAGCCCACAGGCTTCCACAGATCTCCCCAAAGGCCTTGCCGGAGATGGGCGCCGCTGGTCTTTCGACAAGCCTGGCGAGGAGGAGAAGGCAGCCATAGTGGCGGCCCTGGAGCAGAGCGGCCCCATGTTGGCTGAAGAAGAAGAAGAGCGGTTGCGACAGGAGGCTCCGCCCAAAGCCGCTGCCACCTCCTCCTCCACGGCGGAGTCGGAACACCAGGGGAAGAAGCAGAGGAGGAACTTTTTCTACCATGGGAGGAGTGAGTCTGCGGGGAAAGGGCAGAGTCAGTCCAAGGATGAGTCTGAACAGGCCCCCGCTGCCACTGAGGAGAAACACAAGGGATGGTTTGGATCAAAGGACTCGCACAGCAAACCCAGGTGAGATACACACTGTAAACACAGAGAAGACTAATCGCACACTGACAGGTTCATTTGTTGCAACATCAAACAGATGATGCATTATCATTTCAGTATGAATATGGGGAGAATTGAGGTCAACAACTGCTCAGGAGCCTGCTGAGAGTTTGTACCTGTACTGTTTAGATTCATAAGTCGTACACCGAGGTGTCTTACTGCATGTGACCTCTGTATACTTTTTATTTGGTAAAAACAGTGAGGTGAAAGAATGTATTTTATATAAGCTGATATTTTAGCAGCAGATTCAAACTAAACCAGATATATAGAAATGTAAAAATCAACAAAAAATTATAGTTTGTGTTCCAAAACTTTAATGATTAAAAAGTTACAGAAATCTGTATTTGAATAAACTTATAAAATCACAAATAATCTAATAATCTAATGCAGTCCAATAAAACAACAGGTCTTATCTTAGCATAAAGACCAAACAGAGAGGAGGACGGCTATCCTGGCTCTGTGAAAAGTTCAAAAATACACCTACCAACACCTCTAGATCTCAGTAATAAACATGTATTTTATTCAATTAAAAAACGGACTAAACAAAAAAGATACAACATGTTATTGAGTCAGCAGTTAGAAGGAATATTTTTGAACTTGGGGCTAGCTGCTTCCACCTGTTTCCAGTTTTTATGCTAAGCTAAATGCCTCCTGCCTTATGCTCCAGCTACTTAACACACAGACTTTAGGGCAGGATGGATTTTTTCTCTCATTTTCTCTTATCTCACTCTCAAGAAATAATCCCAAAATGCTGAAATATTAGTAGTTTTTAATGTAGTGCTATTTTATTGGTTACATGATATCTCATTGTGAGGAGGATAAAGAAAAGATTTCTTTAAATAAAACAGACAGAAGTCAACAGTAAATTGGAGTAAACACTTGAAATGTACCCAATTAAAAGAGGATTCAATTTCACAATATATAATTAGAGAACTAGCATTATGTTGAACAGTTATCAGAGTAGTTGTTTACCTTTCACTTCCTGTGTACCAGCATGGCTGCCAGAAATTTCCTCCAGCTCTGTACACATCCCTCTTCAGCTCCTGGTCTCAGTCTCTGGTTACAGCAGGTATCTGCAATGCAGATGGAGGACGGGAGCTGCTCTTTAAAATTAGCTTTATCAAGCTGAAGCCTTGTGCACACTGTAATATGGTTCAGTAATAATCATCATTGCAAAGATGATGATGTGAGCTGGAACAGTCCCTGCTCTCTGACAGGTTTTGTGTGTGTGTGTGTGTGTGTGTTAAGGTGTGGGTTTTGTGCATGCATTTGTGATGTGTGTGTGTGTGTGTGGGGAAGGAGAAGGGAGGGAAGAAAACCCCATCTAATTTTATTTCCACTTTTAACACAAGCACATTCTTAAGTGGGTAATTTATTTTGGAGGTGTCACCTGCTGTACTGTACTTTCTCTTATACTGCTCACTGTTGTATTGAGTGCATTCCGCCTGCAGTTTGTATTTGAGTCTTGTATACAATTCATGTTTAATTCAGGTCTACAAGAACCCTTAAACAGTTACTTTTAATATATTTTTTCTTAATCAATTTACCCGACCAAGGCCAAAAAAAACAAGTACAGTACCGTAATATTTCTATACACCGAGCGTAAACAAAATATTGGACTGGTAAGCACCTGCTGATTGAAGCGAGGTCAGCTATTCTGGACCATAGTACACTCAATACCTTTCTGCCAGCTCTGTAACTATACATTTTCACATCCTACACACCCACATGCTCCTAGATGCTTGGGGAAAGTGCCAAGTTGGCACCAGGAGCACTAAGTAATCATTACACCCAGCTGCATCAACTTTTCTCGCTTAATATTACATCATGTGCCAATAAAAACACACAAGAGGCACAGAGAGGAATGCTTTTGAAGATATGAACACATGTATGGTTGATATCAACAATTAATATACAGTTTTTGATTGATACTGTTAGGAGTTACTGTTGTGTTACTCCTGTGTAGAATTTTCATGGGATTTCTTTCAGCAAGATTTTGTTTTTAGACATTTTTTAAAATTATTACAGTTTAAGTTTTTTTCTTTAAAGCTCCTCAGCTGTGCAGAGCGCTTTAGCTTCCTTCGGCTTATTGTTTTGGTTCTCCTGCTTTCAACTTCACTGCTCATCAAAGCTGCGTCCAGCTGCGACAGGCAGCTTTTTTCAGGAAACCTTCTAAAAACCAACTGTTCACTACCTGTCTAGCACCAAACAGCAGACACACAAGAGTTAGTGACTAGCTGGCAAACATAGTGGAGCATTTAGAAGCTAAAGTTTCTCTCGGGAGTCAGTAGAGACCAAACCTGAGCTAAAATTGAATATTGGACTTAAATTCATCAGGCCAAAGAACTCTAAATGAACATTAATGTCCGTCAATGTCTGCAGGATCTGTACGCTGGCAACTCTTTGCTATCATGTTCACTATAAAATGTGATAAAATGTTACTGTTGTGTTTACTGTTTGTTGCGCTGCCCCCAAGTGGCCAGAAAATTCCATTGCTGCAGGTTTAAAGATATTTTCCAGACAATGAAGCAACAATAAAGAAAACCTAAAGGAAGACCTGAATTAAAACCGGGTTTAAGTGAATAAACAGTGAAAACAGATTATACGCAGGCCAGTATGTAAAAATGTTTGATTTAAGATGTGATATGAGACAGACAACCTGCAGCAGGCCGCTGTGTGAACAATCCTCACTAATCAAGAGGACTGTGTGCCCTTCCTTTCACAGCCTGGTGGTGTCACCTAAACTAGAGCCCAGCACTGACCCCCACCCACCACCCCTCCCACCTAGTAACCACCCCTCGGGTCCCCCTGTCGATCCCGCCTCTCTGGTTTCTCCGCTGCATCACACTAACCCTTTCTGCCACTCACAGAGCACACCACCTCCCATGTCCCCCTGCAACCCTTTCTTCTCTCTCCTCCAGCACAACCCTTTCTATGAAGACATGCTAAAACCTTCGCTGCCTCCTCTGCCCTATCTTTCCAGTTCCCGGCCCCCCATAGCTCACCTCTTTCCGCAGGCGAGTAACCTTAACCCCTCTCTGACTCACAACAACCCGACCACAGAGGACTCAGTTGCTTGTACAGATACAAAGAGCAAAGCGATGGCCAAAGTTGAGAAAAGACCACTTCCTCCGACTCCCATGGAAGGGGAAACAACTTTAAGCAAGAGGCCGTCCAACCCTTTTATGTCTGCCGGGGAGCTGAAACTGGATTTAGAGTGGGACGAATCCTTTGAAGAGTTTGCAGCTGGCAGGCTGCAGTCTCCCGAGGACCTGACCACAGATTGCAAAACACAGCAAAACACACCCAGTCACCATTCACTGGAACACTGCAATAATAAAGGAGCATTACTCCCCATAACAGACGCTGACAAAAATGTGAATGATGCACTACATCATCAACCTTGCACAGAATTTGGATTCGAAGCACATAAAGCCACCAGCCAAGTGACCAACGCTAACACATATTACGTTGACACATTTGCACAATTTCTTGAGACAATCCCCGAACACGCAAGCTTTGAGAGTGACGACATAACTTTAAATACTCCCACTAACTCACCAGAACTGACTGCGTGCATTGAAACTAATCAAGCTAACAGTACCACTAACACAAATGAGTTAACCGACACTAACGCGGCCCCCAGTCACACCTCGGCTGTAAAGCTCAACAGCAGCTCCCCAGATCCTGGTTCTTCAGGTCTCGGCAGTTCAGCAGAAGAGGATTTCCTGTCTTGTCTCTCTTCTTATTCTGACAAATTGTCTGCATCCTCTTCAGAGGAAGCTGAGGCGCAGAACTTTGAAAGCAACATCCTCAGCTTTGAGAAATCCTCTGCGTCGCCCGTGGTGAAAAAGTCCTCAGAATCCGAAGATGACATTACTGACAGGTCAAATGATCTGTCTTTAGTTGATGTAGATCAGCACACTATTCTTCAGCAGGATGGTGATGAAACAGTAGATTTAATTGGTTTGGAGGGGTCATTGGCACCACAGTCCCCAGTGTTTACACCTCAGGAGCCTGTTATCACTGCAGAAGAGACTCAAATATCAAAACTCTCAGAACTACAGACAAAATCCAACATTTCTTTACAGTCTGACAATGAAAATGGAGAGAAAGACACAGGGGAATTCAATGGCTCTTTAGAGGATTTTTCAAAAGTGTTAAATGATTCCTCTGTATCTGTAAGTAACACTACAGATGTGATGACCTCTATGACTCCAGATGATGAACTCTGCCCCACACACCCATCCGTACACATCATAACCTCCTCCCCTGATGTGAGGCAGAGTTCGTCAGACTCGCCCATTGAGGGCGCGAGTTTAGGAGGGCCGGGTGCGAGCCAGCGTTCTCCGATACCATTCAGGCTTTTTGGCGATTTCCTAAACACCAGCCACATTGCGAGCACTCCCAGCCAAGACTTTGACGACACACTGTTATGCACTCAGGTGTCCGATCAAAGCACCAGCAGCTTCCTCCAAAGCCTTTATGTCAGCGCCGACTCGCAGGACTACCAAACCTGCAACTCTCACCAGTTCTCCAAAAGCTCCAGCGGCTCGGAGCCAAACGAGACGCTGCACTCTGCGAACTCGACGCTCTGCTGTGAGCTGAGTGCGATTCAGACCACTGCTGACGCTGCTTTGGGTCAAGGAGATCCCACCAATGCATGCAAGCCGTCCAATGAAGAGGTCAACCAAAGTGACCCATTCGAAGGATCATTCTGTGGAGCCGAGGACAAGACACCAACTATTGAGCCAAGTTTCACGATAGAGGATAACTGCGGTTTAGAAGTACTCCCTGCGGCATCAACAGGCTCTCACACGAGCTGTAATCCAAGGAAGCTCAGCGAAGGAGGTGTGGACAGTCAGCATGTTGTCTTAGGTGACGTGTTCCCGAAATGCCCTCAGGCACAAAGCGCTACGCTACACCGCTCCCAGTCTGAGGGCACACTGACACCGGCCTTTGATGAGCTCCTCCTGCCCTCCTTTGGGAGTGATCCCGGTGCCATACAGGAGTCCTCTTTAGCTCAGCCAGGCCCTGACCTCCCCTCTATGACTTCCTTTGCTCCTTCTCTAACTCCTGACAGTAGTAGCTCCCCTGTAGCGCTCTGTTCCCTCCCTCCCCTTGCCAATGCTACGGCGAGGTCACCACCCAGCACGGCACGAGCTGCGGCGCCAAAGCCAGTGCCTCAGGAGCCCCAGCAGCAGCAGGCAGCCAATCAGCAGAACAGGTGAGGTTGCACATGCTCAGTGCTCGGTGAAAAAAAGGTGGAGAGGAATGAGTTTTTCCCCACTTCCAGAAATTTCTATCCTGTCGTCTCTTCAGTCTCCCTCTGCCGCTCTGCTTCCGCCTGCTTTTCTTCTGTGCCGCCAACTCTCAAGGGGTTTCTCCTTTTGTGGTGTGACCTTCTCTTTTTCATCACTTTGTTATGACACTCACACACACACATGCACACACACATGCACACACACATATATATGTGTGTGCCCTGGTCGTGTAACGGAAGGAACAGAGCCTCGGCCAATTTAGTTAGTTACTCATCTATGCCTGAAATCGTACCACACACCCCCCTCCCTCAACACACACCACACTCAACACACACACACACCTATACACACACACACACACACACACACACACACCATCCCCCTTCTCCACAGGGCTAGCTAGTGTTCTCACACAACCACACTCATTTACCAAACTCACAACCAGAAATGCAGGCTTTATATGAGGCAAAAAAGGTGTTGTTGTGTCACTGATAGCATTTCCTTTTCACCTCAGGATAATAATATATTTAACACAATTCTACATGCTTGATGGCAACTACGTATGCAATTAAGTTTTTCAGTTTTGAGCTAATTTAATTTCAATTTTCACCGGTATTTGCTTTAATGAGGAGCCTTAAACCTGTCTAACCTCCTTTTACTCTTGATCACTAAAAGGGAGATTTTCTGGGATTTTAAAAGGTTGATCTTTAGCATCCATGTCTGCTGTCATCCTGGAGGTCAAGAGGACAATCTGCTCAAATAATGTATAAACCTGTATGTTACCTGGGCTAAAGAGCCTGGTTGTGTGAATGCAAGTCTCTGCACTAGGTAAATAGGTGAGTGAGTGGTCTGATAAGATATATTTCCTTGTAAATGTAGGTCACTGACACAAGAAACTGTCTTTCCTGTGTTATTGTAGAGTTGTAGTTTGAGAAGAAAGAGCTGGTTTGAGGCAAATTGACGATTTAATAAAACAGCGAGACTGTGGCATCTTTTTAGTCCACGTTAGAAAGTTCTGTGTTAAAACAATAACTTCGCTCAAGAGGGATATTTTGAATGTTGTTATACTTGTTGTTGTCTGTCTTCACGTCAAAGTTTCCCAAAGAAAACAAGAGTGGTGTTGTGTGTGATTTTCAGAATAAAAGCTCAATTGTAACCTTTTTTGGCTTGTGACCCCTCACCCATTTTATGGCCGCAGTGTAGGGACATTTGAGACAAGTCAGAGAAAGGGTACATAGTTTTTGGCACCAGAAATATATTTTTCTTTATTCCTTTTAATCATTTAGTCTAGCAAAAAAATACATATTTCTTTATTTCATACCCATTTGAATCATCTTTAGGACCTCTCAGGTTTATCTTGGGGTCCTCTGCAGGTTCCCGGACCCAAGGTTGAGAACATCTACGTCAAAAAAAAAAAAGCCTGTAGCTTGGTGGTTAACTGTAGGTGATACTCATTTATTTTAATACATTTTAATAATAATATTTAAATACTAATGAACACTGATTGTCAGTAACACTAAAAAGAATTAAGAACCCCCACAGGCACAAACATGTTGAATTTTATTCAAGGTGTAAGTGGCCACTTAAATGATTTTACTCTGAAATCACACAAACCCTTCGCCAACCTCCCATGTGGTACTTTCAAAATGAAAACAGAGGAAGGAAAAATAGAGGTCCTTTTTAGTCAAATGAATTGTATTTGATAATTTCAGACACAGACTGAGACTTTGCTGAAAGCTAATTGGCTTTTTTTCAGCCTCGAATATCAAAGACCTCCAGTATGGCAGCCAGATGGAGTCCTTACATCACCTGAAAGTCTTTTATATTTAACTATAAAGCCACACAGGTGTTGTCGTATGAAGCGAGATACCTGACTGTACGTGTATGCTTCTTGTATGCTTCTTGTCGTCCTGTGCAGTCCCCACCCAGTGAAGCCCCTGACCACTGCCATGCTGGCTGAGGAGAAGCGGACTGAGGGCCGGTCAGTGCTGGCCACCGGCCTGGAGAAGCTCAAGTCCACCATCCACCCGGGAAGGAGCAGCCAGCTCAGCGAGCAGGAGGCCGACAGGAAAAAGGTAACAGTGTGTTAGCATAATGATATTATAAAAAATACTGCAATACTGCCCTTCAGAGGCAAACAGAAGAAAGTATGTGTTTGTGTTTTGAGGTTTAATGATCATTTGAACAACATTTGAACCTGCAAATTACACTTAGACTTGTTTGTCTCAGTGTCTCTTCCTACACAACAGCTGTCTGTTGACAGTAATGATGAAAAAAACGTAATTGAACGCCAATATGTGTAACAAATGTACAAATTAAAGGATTATAAAGGAGAGAAAAAATAAACAGGCAACAATCGTTGCTGATAGAACAGAAAAATCAGCAATAAACATATAGTTTCTTTAAAAAAAAAAATTCTTAATGTTTACTCTACTCTAATATACTCTACTTTAAGTTATATAGATAGATAGATGATGTGCGACACTACCTAAAGTAACAAAAAAGTAAAGAGATTTTTGTGTGTAAAAATCCAGTAGATGACCAGAAGGTAACTTGTAAAATAAGTCTGAAACTTGGGCAGAATTACATATTTTTGCCTAATTTACTCCTTTATTTAAATATTGTAATTGTCTTTGCAATTATAGATCATCAGTTAATGCAATAAAACAGGCGCAATGTTAGCCTAAAGGTTAGAGAAGCCAGTCCAGGTTTTCTTCCCTGAATAAATAATGTTTAAAAATAAATCTATCCCGTTTATTAAAGTTTTTGAATTTAATGTTGGATACAATCTTTCTCTTGAGTTAATTCCTGTGGTTCACATCAAGTTTTGAATCCAGAATGAGCATTTATTGCCAAAAAAGAAACTCAATTTAAATCCAATGAACACACCGTTCTTATCTTTGTTATACTTCTTCCTCCCCGTCTGTCTGTCCCTCTTTCAGTCTCTGACAGAAGGAGCGGGCTCGTACTACCACCTGAACCACAGTGAACTGGTCGCCTTGCTGGTGCAGCGGGAGGCGGAGCTGGAGAGGCAGAAGGTGGAGTTTGAGCGTCAGAAATCTCTGCTGGCTAAGCGGGAGGTGGAGCTGAAGAAGTTGAAGCCGCAGGTCAGAGATCTGGAGGACTACATTGACACGCTGCTGGTGCGCATCATGGAGCAGAAGCCGACTCTCCTGCAAGTGCGTTCCAAGTTAAAGTGACGAAGGGAGGGGGAAGGGTTTGCAGTTCAGTCCGCATCTGTTCACTCTAACCTCCACAACAGCTCTTTAGTCTTTTCACTGCTATGCTGTCCTTTTTGATACAAATATCTAGGCACTGAGCGATGTCGAGGCGATGTTTTCCAGACGGCATGCTTTACTGTGCTGAAACGCGTCCTATGTCGAAAGGGTTTGGTCTGGGGGGCGGTTGAATGTAGCGGGTCCTCAGGTTGTTTTCAGGTTCACACAGCCGGTTGGTTTTAAGTTCACAGAGGAGTGAGCCCCAGTGGGTTCAAAACCCAGATGCTTCCATTTTGGGATCCTGATTGTAGAAACATTGATTCCTCCTTTTCACCTCACTTGTCACTTCTATCACCTTATCACAAACGAGTAGAGTTTCAGTCCAGAACACTGTATATCCAGTTAACTTTTCGCACTGTATGCTTCTCCAGAGGAGTTGCAGTTCTGTAGGGAGAGAAGAGTTAAGTCGAAGGGCCACTCTGGCTGCATGTTTTGGCCCATTAACTACAAACTGCATATACTTTAAATCAATGCTGGCCGTTTCTGTAGCGTACCATCAGGTTTAGATTGATTTTATACCTTCAAGGCAGCCTTTGGTTTCAGTTCATTTCAGTGCAGCATGAAAATCAACTCGCAGAAACTTGAAACCTGCTCGAGACAATAATCTATCACAGTGAACATTATTATTCTTTAGTTCATAGTTGCAGTTGAGAGCAAGGACCTTTTTCAAAATGGTGCAAAAATGTTCTGATATCTGAGACATAAGATTCAGTAGACGGAAAGAATTGCACTCATTTGCTCTAATGGTAATCTTTATTTCAGTTAATCTGCTAATTATTGAATAATTGATTCTTAGTTTGGTCTATAAAGTATCAGACAGTTGTGATATGAGCAAACAGCGCCCGACCAGCCTGTAACTCCCCATAAAACCACAACTTAGTGCTTTAGACATGTTGGTCTGTGTATTTTGGATAGAGCCAGGCTAACTGTTTCCCCCTGTTTCCAGTCGTAATGCTAAGCTAAGCTAATCGCCTCCATATTTAACATACAGATGAGAACGGTATCGATCAAACTCTTGAGTGTATTTCCCTAAATATTGAGCTGTTTTTTTAACTGAAATGAACAGAAAGCAGTGGCTGCTTTCTTTTAAGGAATAAAATAAATCAATAATCTTTAAGTATACTTTGGAAAATAGTCTACATTATTGAAAAGTATACACGATATTTGGTTAATGAGTTAATTAATTCATGCTACACCACCTTCTGTAATGACCTATACCTCTGTGTTTAGCATCACTTTTCCCAGCTGTTGTATATATGTTGTTTTGGATTGACACTCTACGAATGTTCCCCGATGAATACCGAGCGCTCCAACTCGTTTTTGAAATAACAAACCAAATGAGCGTTGTGAGAGTTGTCACGTGCACATCACCGGGAACTGATCGTAGCTCACGAATGTTCAAAAGTGTTCTTAGCCAGCAAGCGAATAGTTTTATGTTCTCCGCACGATAAAGTGCTGTTTATCTTTTGCTTGTTCCTTTCTCTTTGTTTTCCTCCTTTTTTCCCCCTTCTTTCTGTTCAATGGGCATGTCTTGAAATTACCCACGATGCTCAGCCTAATAAGCTAACTGATTCTTGTATGGGTCACGGTGTTATCAGGTGAAGACAGTATCACTCAGTATCCAGTCAGTATCAAGATCAGCCATCACAGCTTCTCTGATCTCATGCTTCTGCCTTCTCACGTGTGCGTTATCGGCACGACTCCACTGTTGTGAAAATGCCTGCGACATGCTGGTACTTGACTTCCCTTCCCTCAGTGTCTGTGTGTCACATCCGCTTCTGCTCAAGCACACATATCGCTACCGCTTTCAGGTGTTACAAAGGGATATATACCGCATTTTACAGCATATATGCCGTATTGAAATGCCAAATGCTGCCTTATTTTTGTTTTTGTTTTTGACGTTACATTAAGAATCTAGCACTTCATTTTACTTGCCGGCGCTCTGGGCAAGGCTTTGGAAAAAAGAAAAAGCCATCTGTTCACCTTTTTTTTTTTTTCTTTTCATGCTTTCTTATGATATTGTTTAGATCACTGCACAACAATAAATTGTATGCATACAAATAGTAATGAGTAGTAACAGTGATTTCCTGTGAAATGCCAAAAAACTATAAAACAATAAAAAAAACAAGCCTTGAAACTTAATCTATGGAGCAGATTGATACACCATAAAGTATTCTGATATGATGCCACTTTTAACAGCATTTGTGGATGTTCTTGCACTACTTAATCGTCAGAACATAACTCTACTGTACCTGTCTGTTGATATCGGTATAGTTAGATCTACTTTACACACCGTACTGCACTTTCTAATCGCTCTGTGATTTAAGCACTTGGCCTACTTTGACACCACGTTGAAGGTTTTCCCAGTGAGCTTGACGCATACAAAAAAAACATCCAAAACTGTCTTATCATCTCAGTTCTGCCGTGCAATCTCAATATCAAGTGCATAGATGACCGTAGAGACATTTTAAATGTGACTCGACACTTACAAAGCGCAAGAATAAAAACGTCCTCCTCCATGTCTTCCATTTACAAAAGTTTTTATTTAAGTTTGAACTGATTGTATTTTTGTCCTTAATTGTGTAGCCGGTGGAATGTGCTTAAGGTAGTATGTAAAGATTGGAAAGTTTACAAGTCGTGATGCAATTCTGTTTCACAAATTTTGTATATTTAATAAAGAATATTTTATGTTTCTTGCTCACCGTATGTTTGGGGTGTGTTTGTGTGTGTTTTTTTAGTTGTTTTTTTTCTCCACAGGGCTGATTGTGGTCAGTCTTTGTTTACAGTGGAGTTTTTATGTTTGCATTCAAGGCTTTGTTTCTGAAAGCGAACTTTGTATCCGGTTCCAAGCTGGAAAAATACCTTCATGTGTTCAGCTCTTTTTTTTCTTGATAAATGCACGAAAACATTTACTTAATCATATAACTAAATGAGCTGCTAGGTTCAGATATTGTTATTGTTTTTTAGATCTGAAATGTTGCATCTTTTATTACTTAAACTGTTCATCTTAACCAGGGGCGTTTCCAGACTTTGTGCCTCAGCTTTCCGGTCACTCCCAGTTTATGGAATTCCAACACTGTTTTTGGACCTGAGTATGCAGAAATATTCAAATAACACAAATAACTACACGTTGATTACCGAGGTCAAGGGATCTTTTGAAAATTTGGAGTGTAATTTAGCCCCCATTCCTACTTTCTAGCATGTTTGATACCAATGGATGCGTTAGGTCATCTTGTTTCATATGATATCAGTGTCTTCACTCTAGCTTTAAACAGAAACCTGCTACATCGTCTGAAAGACAGCGCGGAGTGGAAGAGGGAACGCCTCTGATCTTTCGAGAACTGAAGAAAAAGGGGTTTGGGACACATTTGGTAAAATGCTATAGAACCTTTTTAATGCACCGTAAGCTTCAACTCACCACTCATGAAGACAATAACATGAGAAAACCCACCTATCATTTCCAAAAGTGATGCTGGAGAAAAGTAAGCATGCACACTGAATACGATTTCAACATTGTCTTCAGTAAATACATTTAGTGTAGATCACTATAGGATACTAACAATACCCTAATCCAGCCCCTCCTACCTTTTAATTTTAATTATCTCACCACACTGCCATTAATCGTACTCTGCAGGAGAAATTCAGCACTGAATCCTTAATTTACTGATATTTTTCGACAAAGTGAAATGTCTGAGAAGCCATGCGTAGGTGCAGGTGTAGGTGAAATGCTGTTTCACGTGTAATGTGATGAAATAAACCCACACATGCCTGTATGTGAACTAATCACATGTAAAAAAAAAAAAAAACAGACACCTGTAATATTAAATGTGAAATCGATGTTTTCACATTTTACGTCTTGGTGTCAATATGTGAATTTTGCACACATGAAATATGTTTTTACATGACAGGATAAATTCACATGTGCTTTTTTTGTTTTTTGTAAGGTTAAATAAACAATGTTTAATAGAAATACTGGAATCAGCCTATGTACTTCCATGTACTGTAAGGTTTTAATCTTTGTCTATAACTCTACCTAAATATAAAATAACCTTTGCATCCTTGATCACAAGCAGTCCAACATGTTATTACTGCTATAAAGGGATGGACATAATAACACATACGTGTGCAATCAATGCACATGTACATTAAAAACTGCCCCTGAGGCATTAATTCAACTCGTTCATAATATTACAGGCTTTAATTTGTGTTGTAATGAATGTGAGAGCATGCACACTTTTCCTATGACTGACCTTAATTAAAAACCCACCACTAGGGGGCTATGTTATACACTTTAAAGTCCTTCTTCCACCAACAACAGCTCAATAAACGTCTCATGTTGTATCTGCTGCACTCCTGCCTGATGCACAGCTCTTCACTTCCCGTTATCTTCCATTTTTTAAAGCAGCGTAAACAAAGCGCGGCCTCCTGGGAAGTGTAGTGAGCCGTACAGAGTTCAACCGAGCAAAGGAACGCCGGAAAAACTACATTACCCAGGATGCAACGCGCGCACTGGACAGCTGACTGTTGAACGCGCAGCCCTGCAGCTGAAGTTTTTATAAGTGTTGTTTTTTTTTGTATTAAATCATCCTGCAGAAGGATAGAAGTGGTGTAGGTTTGTGTAGGTTTGCAGCAGCATGTCTGAATATCCGACATTCCAGCATGGCAGGTCTCGTTTCGATCAGGTACTCTTATTTTCGTTAATCGATTAAACTCTGCCAGCAGGTAACTTCATGTGTGCACTTCAGGCAGCTGTAGACATTCAGACACACCCGTTCAAGCTCATGTTAACATAAGATTGTGTGTTTTATCTCTTCGTTAAAAGACCTTTTCATATGTCAGTGCGAAGCTGAGGTAATACAACTTATCCGTATTAGTATAAGTTACATATAATATATTCATTTTCTTATATTTGTGCCATATATTATGTCATATAAGCTGACTCAGTATGGTCAGCTGTGTAATAAAAACAAAAACCGGGAATTTGTTGACCAAATTTATGTTGAGTTGGTCCACAAATACATCTAGTTAGCTCGATAAGGTTACCAGTTTGGCTACCATCAAAGCTAACAGGGTGTGACCCCAGTTAAGGGCTGTTGACATGGATTAACTGCAGGGTTGAGAGAGTTGCTTTAAAAGTGATACAATTACTAATTAACTGTTCAGAAATGTAGTCAGTAACCTAATCCAAGTATCACGATATTAAAGTAACGTAATTCCATTACTTTCTGTTACTTTTGGATTACCAAATCAACCAAATATGTAAATAAAAGCAAAGTAAAAGTACTGTCAATAAGAATTATTGATGTAAGTGTATTCTAAGTGTATTATAAGTTTAGAAAAGAAAATGTAAAAAGATTTTTAGCATCAAAATGTGCTCAGTGTATTTTTAAAGAAAAAATAAACTCAAACTTTTGTTATCCTGCTAAATAATTACCATTTTTACTAAATTGTAACTTAATTAGTTACGCCCTAAACCTGCTAGTTAGTAATACTGATTACCAATTATACTAGCTAATATCACAGCTAACAATTTTTGACCCTAAATACTATGGAAACATTGTCTACTTGAGCTAACGGCTGTCAACATTTTGTATGTAATTCTTTCTTAATTAACTTAATTTATTCAACAAACTTGGAGTAATTTGAGTCACAATCCTGTGTATTGGCCAGCTGCTGTAATGTTATATTTTGGCGTCTTATTGTAACATTACATAACTTACCCATATACAGTGTAACTATAATTAAATCAAACTTAATTAAAAGCAGTGTCCCAATTAGAGGCAGGTCCCCTTTACTAACCTGGTGTGGTTACAGTTTTTGACAAATTAAAGCCGGAGCCTTGTCTGGATTTTATACAAATTCTCTGAATGTATAAAACCTCTTAAAGATCGCCTACACAACTGTACTTATTTAAACATTTTCCCATATAGATGTAGTACACATTGCTAGATCAGTTAGATTCTCCACAATTGATTTGTTATTCGACAGCCTAATTTTCTATACGAGTAAATATTCATATTGGTTTAAATAAACATGAAGTTCAAGTACAAAGTTGGCACCAGCCACCAGCCAAAAAACCCAAAAACCCAATGGTAATGTCTTTAGTAAAATTAGAAATTCATTCACTGACCAGTGGATAAAAAAGTTTTTACATTTTCACCTTAATCAGTCTCTTGTGAGTTCCTCGACTTTCTTAAAGTGCAATAGTGAATCTTTGGTTTCTAGTTTTTTCTACATTTCTTTAGTCTTTAATGTACAATGTACCTATTTCTACCCCTTCAAATTAAATTGAATTAATAATAAAGTAATAATAAAGTACCTTTTTTGTTTTGGATATAATTTTCTTTTACAAAAATTTGAAAGCTGGTTTGGCAAAAAAAAACTTGAATGTGGAATTCAGCCAAGATAATTATAAGCTTAATACTCAACCATAAAATCACTAATATCAGACCAAAAAAAAAAAAAGTATGATAGTCATTTTAAAACATGTAAAATATGCCTTCAGCAGTGAAATGTTGTATGTAGATGAAGGTTTATGTGACCGGTGGCGTAGTAGAAACATTTTCCTACAGCGTAACACCGATGAAGCTGCTACAGGTAAGAGTCCCCTCTCTTACTCTGCTCACCAGTGTCACCTTAAACTGGTCAAGTTTGGTGTGGCACTGATGAATAATTGAAATTAACAGATTTTAAAAACTATCCCTCCCTCCTCCCTCTACACTGTGTTTTGTTTTTTTTACCCACCATCCATATGTTCAGGAAGTCACAAGGCGCAGCAGTGAGTCAGATACCAGATTTTCATCCAAATTAGCAGCTAGTGTAATTAAACTCAAGTTAGGGAGGGACGGGCGCCTCTCAAGACTGCGTTGCTGTATCTCTCCGAAATGGTTCCTTATGCTCAGTTACGAATAAATGATCGGAAAGGTATTTCTGGCAGTCATTATAGAAAGTAATTGCAAATGGTGTGAGTGGATTCGGGTCCCTAAAAGATGCAGATAGGAAACAGTTTGTCGGTGGTATTAATGAGAAGACTCCACCTGGCGCAGTGTTAAAAACAGCTGGCGTGCTGTAGTGTAACTGTTTACTGGGTGACAGCTGTAATATCTCTGCCTCTCTCTGCTTAAAGGGGGACAAAATACAGACTCCACACACAATCCTGCCTATATTTAAGAGAAAACTTGATTTATTTTACCTGTATAGTAGATGAAAAGTAAGACTTTAAGAAACTTTCTCATCCCGACTCAAGTATTCCACTGATTACACATTGAAAACACGATAAATATCTCATGTTTAAGTCTCGTTAATAATACTTGTTTTGTGCTTTAAATGGACATTTTACCAAAATGAAGTTTTTCAATGAATGTGGCGTTTGAGATAATGTTTGTATGATGTATTTTCTTCGTCTCTTAGAGCACATTTTTTGGTCGGTTCAGGCACTTCCTGGATGTGATTGACCCCAGCACGCTCTTCGTGACAGAGGTACGCAAACTTAATGATTTATTATATTGTTCTGCTCTGATAAAAGATAAACTCAACCATCTTTATGTGTGTGTTTGGTTAGGACAGTTCATACGGAGCTGACAGGGTCTCAGGACGAGTGTTTTAGAGAAGGGCTCTGAGGATTAGACCTGTATCAGAGTACTGTTTTTTTTTGCCATTTAGTTACCTTTTTATGTATTTAAGATATTGTAGGGATTTGCAAAAATGTTTGGGAGCGTCACCTTGACCCTCGTCATACTGAACCCAGAGGTATATCATATCTCACAGATGCTGTCTGTTATTCTTATATAACTTAATATTGTTTTCTGCTTCTGTTTTTAATTTGTGCTTTTTAAAATACCAGTTTATTCAGTTAAAAGTGCTAATGCAGCTTTAAAGGACCAGTGTGTGGGACTGGCATCTAAAGATGAAGTTGCAACCAACTGAATACCGTTCGCTTTACAAGCGTGTAGGCAAAACTAAAGAGGCTGCGAAACTCCTGAGCCTGTTTTTGGTGTGTCCCGTCTGGGCTACTGTAGAAACATTGTGATTCAACATAGTGGACTCTGTAGAAGAGAAGCCACTCCCATTGTAGATTAAAGTATTTCACACTATCAGGAGGGGTCATTTTGATAGAGACAAACACAGATGTATTTCTGTTCTGTTCTGTCTGTTTTTGTTTTACCCAATTTACAAATTAATTGTAACTTTCCTATATTAATAATGAGAATTTTTTTTTTATTTAGATGACATTAAGTGAATCTGTAGTCCTTGTATGTCTGTAGGATGAGGCTTAATATGGTCATGTTTATTTATATAAACTGAAGTCACAAGTGTGTCCCAGAGGACTTTACAATCTGCACATCACACAACACCCTTCGTCCCCAGACTCTACAAAACAAAAGGAAAGGAAAGGGGGCAAAAACCTCAGCCAGACAGGACAGACAGACAGACAGAAGTAGCAGTAATATAATTACAGAGTACAGAAACATAATTATAATATACAATCCTGAGCTACAAGAACTAGAAAAAGATCTTCTTCAAGGACATTTTACTGAAATTATGTGTCCTTGACCTTGTTTTTAATATTAACATGTCTGATTTATTCACACACTCAGGGATCCAGACCATTCTCTGTGAGTGCTGCACTGGTCTGCGGTCGTGTTTTGGTAATCAGTGCTCTGGTGCTCTGGGTAATGAAGCTGTTAGCAGGCTCTTTGGTGACAGTAATAGCGGCAGTAGCTCCTGGGATGTGATGAGGTGTGGACATGTGGGGCAGCTGTGAGGGGTGGAGATTGTGTGCGCTCACACACACACACACACACACCGTGCATCCTGCTGGGCCAGGCGTAGCCTCAACTTGCCCCTAATAACGAGAGTGGAACAGGGGCGGCCGTGATATTTACGTGATATACACACGCACATGACCTCATGTGCGCACAGGCAGAAGTGCACACCTAACAAACAGGAGGACGAAGGGACGCACGCACACACATTCACACGCAAATGGAAAGCTCATTAGAACAAATTGGGCCACATGACCTTGTGTTTTGCTCAGTATTAGACAATGATCACACCACAGAAAGCTGCTCATTACCTTTTAGGAAACTCATTTGTCAACTGAAAATCAGCATGAAAGTTTTTAGTGAAACACAATTATCACACATTGAGCTGTGCGGCTTACATAGTGGAAGAAAAATCTAAGAAAATCTCTAGGCTGACTAAGACTCTCCAGGGAGGTAGTTCCCTGTCCTTACTTTACATTTTACTCACTTTTATCTGTTTTATCAAATCAGAAACAGCTGCAGCAGAGCGTGGAGCTGCTCCACCGTTTCAGACAGGGGACTCTTCCTCCAGGAGTGACAGATGCTCAGGTAAACACACACAAACCGGAGCTGAGTTTTCCTGGTGACAGAAAAAAGTTTTTTTTGTTTGAAGAGCCTCTGACAAGAGTTGTAAATGCTCCAATCTTGGTTTTAAAAGAGTTGGTTAGTTAAAAGAATGAGGTGTTAAGCATTTAAGCAAGGATGGCTAAAAACAGCCAAATGTCTCCTGTATAGACATTTAAATGCTCAATTTATTCTTTTACATTTGATGTATTTAAGTGACAAACTGTATTTTCTAAATGCATCACCAATAAATAAAAAAGAGCTTAAGTTTCTACATTACTACATTAAACAGATTTAACTTTATTGAGTTTTTACTCAATAAAGACATTTGTTATTTTTCTCCACAGCTTTGGCAAGCTCAGAAAATAAAGCAGGTAAGGTGTTTTTGTCTCTCTCTCTCAATCACTAACACACACACACACACACACACACACACACACGCTGCAGGCATGTACACAAACTACGATCACTATCTTACATTATATCTGGTTGTTGTGGCATGGTGTCAGCAGATTGGCAAACAGCCTTTTGATTTTAGCTCAACACTTAGCTTTATACATGGCAAACATACAGCGGAGTGGGCACAGACAGGAAAATGCGACGTAAGTACATTAAAAGTACAAAGACGTTGAAGAAAGTGGCGTTAACTGCAGTGCTAATGAGCAGCCTTCAGAGCTGTCTGACAGTCACTGAACTGCAGGTGCAGTCTGGTCAAACCAACAGAAAATAAATTACAGTGATATGGAAACGGCCACAGCAGCAACTATACAACTATAGGTTTTATTTAGATGACACAACACCAGTTTTTATAAAACTCTAATTATTTTAATGATCAATTCATTAAAATAATTAGAGTTTTAGAAGTTTTTAGAATTATTTAATGAACATGTTGTGAAGTTAACGAAGTATGAAATTGAGTTCTGTACTCTTCTTAGCTTTTCTTAAATTGATCAACAGCTTGTTCAATATGCACGTAATGAGTTGCCCTTGTGTTTTTATATTTGAGAAAACATTCAAAAGCCTTAAAATCTCAGTAATGTGTTCATGACTGAACTCTGCACCAAAATCACACCCAGAATGCACTGGGGTTTGAAGCTGATTGTTCAAACCAGAGGATTGGTGTGCGTTGTTTCGAACCATATGTTAAAGCAGTGGTTCCCAACCTTTTTCCTTAAGGGAGCCTGTTTCTTTTCTATCATTGAGTAAACTGACGACCCCTAAGTCTTATAGATATTATATTTAATGTGGTTATTGCCTTGGAGATGAGTTTTCCTGATATTGTAGGCACTTTCAATAAAATTATGTCTGTTTTATGTATTTTTTCATCATATATAGATTAAATTTTTGACTAATTCTGTGTTTTTTTATCCACGGCTCTTTAAAAACATGAAGACCTTTGGACCCCCGGTTTGGAAACCAGTGTATTAAAGTATATAAATATATACCTGACTAGAGCTGCTGGGTCAAGTTTGTTAACATCAGCTGCCAACTATTAAAAATGTCAGCTAGTCTTTAGTTTCATGGGCTGTACCAGTGGTTCCCAACCTCGGGGTGCTGACACACACCATAGGAGTTGGCAAAGCTTCAGGGAGAAGAAAACACAGAATTAGCTAAAAAAAAGAAACCTATTACGTATGTATGATGAAAAAAATACATAAAACAGACAGAAAATTGTGTCAAAATTTCTTAAAATATCAAGAAAACTCATCTCTGATGCAAAACTCATAAGAAATAATCTGCAAAAAAATCCTCAAACGCTTGTTTGACACAAACAATTATTACGTTCACTATTTGTACAGTTGTTATTGTTGTACATTAGATATAATATTAAATATCCATAAAATAACTCATGCAGTCAGGGGTTATCAGTTTACTCAATGATAGAAAAGGGGTCCCTTAAGGAGAAAGGTTGGCAACCACTGGGCTATATACTATAGGACAAGTGATACGAGGCCATTATACAGGAAGAGGTATACCTTAAGTGGCAAACTTCCCATATTCAGATATGACAGTGCCCACATGCACGGTACTTCACAAGTTCAAGATTGGCTCCACGAGCATCAGGAAGAAGTGAGATGGCTTCCGTTCCTCTCCAATCAGCAGATCTCATCACCACTGAAGCAGTGGGGGAAAGAGATTTCCATCTGTCTTATCTTACAGCGGAGAGGATACTGCGCTAACAGAACACTGTCTATTGTCTTTGTTGCATACGTATGAGAAGACTTGAAAAGCTCGCCCACATAAAAAAAAAACATGGAAAAAATGTAATGTAGTGAATGATCAAAAGTTTGCAACCTGTATTATGCAAAAGTGCTCTGTTGTACAAAAAGGGAGGTTATATGTCAGTACCAAAGGCTTCAGCCCCTCAGACCTCCATCAGTGCTTATACAGCTGATCCAGGGCTGTGGGGCTCATAACGCTGTGAAACCACATCAGTGAGTGGTTCAGAATGACGCTCATCAGTCCGTCTGTCCTCCGTTTCAGACTGAAATATCTCCACAGCTATTCGTTGGATTGCTATAGAATCTATTACAGATAGTTTCTTTTCTTTTGTAAAATGTCTTGATAACTTTTGGACTGATTGCCATGACATTTGTGGCTGTGGCTCAGAGGTAGAGCGGGTCGTCCACCGATTGGCTGTTGGCGGTTCGATCCCCGGCTCCTCTCACTGCATGTCGAAGTGTCCTTGAGCAAGGCACTGAACCCCAAATTGCTCCCGATGCAGTGTGGCAGTGCATACAGCGCATTGAGTGGTCGAAAGGCTGGAAACGCGTGACTGAAGACTCTTTTTAACACTAATGGTTTCAGAAAATTATTACTTATGAAGTTGAATTCATCCCAGTGAGTTGTTCAAAATGACTCTATTGTAGCTAGAGGCCTTTTTTTAAAAGTTGCTGAATATTGTGCACACCTTTTTATTGAACTGAATCAAAGTTAACCACTGAAGGTCCAGTGTGTAACATTTAGGAGGATCTATTGGCAGAAATGTACTATAATATTCATAGGTTTGCTCTTATAAGTATGTATAGTAAGTAATAATCTTCTGTTGCTCCAGGCCACTTCCTGTCTGCTGTCTATATTTGACGCCTTGTTCTCAGTAGTTTCACTGTATCTAAAGTAATATAAATTCGTTTCTAATAACACTTCAGACTTTCCTTCATTTTTTAACCTTTCGTTTTTTTTACTTTCTTCCTAATTTATTTCAACTGAACTAACCCAAATCATTCAGTTCTCATTATTGTCTGATTCTAATCATTATGCTCTTATTACAGGCCATCATCCACCCTGACACGGGGGAGAAGATCCTCATGCCCTTTCGGATGTCAGGTACAGTAGTTCGGTGTGGAAGCCTTGGGGGAAGTGGGATCTAGGGGCTTGTTATGTGGTCCAACATGGAGGCGTTGTTCGCCCTGGGAACTGTCACGGCTCAACGGGGCTCTTCAGGTTGTCTGGAAAAGGTCACACTCAGCTGGGCGCTGATTAAAACCTCTCTCCCACGGTGACAGAGAAGTTCTCGAGGCCTCTGAAGAAGCAAACACAAGTATTTTGGTCCAGTCTCGAGCCCCTTTATTTTTTTTTTGTAAGGCGACTTTGAAGTGTTGGAGAACAAATGAGGGAGGAGAAAGAGACACCGGCGATTAACATGTTCAGACCAACATTCTGCATACGTCAGACAAATGGGAATAAGCTGCAGAAGAGAAACAGAACTGATGTGTTTTTAAAGAACTTTAAATCTGACTGCAGAATAACCTAAAAGTGTATTTACAGAGTTAACACTGACTGTCTTTTAACAGGTTTTATCCCATTTGGCACACCAGTGGTAAGACTTTATTAATTTATTTTTTAAAGTTTAAGAAATGTAAAACCAGTTATCATATTTATTATAATAAGTTTAAATAAATTAAAGAAGTGTATCCACATATACACAGTTTGCTTATTATATTCTGACATAAGCATATTGTTTTAAACCAAGACCGGCCCTCTAATATATGGTTTCGGCTTTGTACTATTTGTACTTCCTGTAGTTGTTTTGTAAAGAGTTTTATCTTTGTGCAGGTTGTTGGCCTCCTTCTCCCAAATCAAACATTGGTGTCAACTATCTTCTGGCAGGTAGATATACCTGCTTCTTGACCTGTAAAACTCAGACTGATGTAATATTATCAGGAACTCTTTTCAGTTTAATTCATTTATACAGACACCACACATTAGACAGCAACTGCAGTCCTGGCAAGATGTTGTAAAACCAATGAAGTGACAGGTTGAGAAATACAAACACTTGACTGTAAGACGCCAAAGTGACAACAGCGACAACAAAGTTATCATTCTGAAGATAGTTTAGAAAAATCTAGAAACAAATTAACATTAATGTTATAATATTAATATAATAATCATAATGTCAACTTTTCATCCACTGGACAGTGTTTTATGGAAAATCTGATTCTAATTTATCTAAATCATCGTCTCATTTCTACAATAAAATAAAGATATTGAACTTAAGGATCACCTACTGGCTTTTTCCAGAACTGCTCCATTCAGTCAAAATGGCCGTGAGTTACAGTTGAAAGCTCAGGGAAGAACTTGTAAGTGAAGTTTGAACACATATGAACTCACTCACTGGGATCTTTAGTGGATAGCTACTAACCTGGGTGGTGGGCTTGTTGTGGGGGGACAGGGGAAATAATATAGCACCTAAATGATTTGTAGCTCTGCTGCTTTATAAGCATTTCTATGTTTTACATCTGCACTGTCTGTTGATGCTCTGGTACACAAAGAAAACAATACAAATTGTTAAAACTAAATAAAAAATGAAATATTTTATTACAGGATCAAGAACCTCCACTGCCTTATTAGTGTACGCTAATGAATCAGACAGGGACATAACAGTGTTGTGCTAGAGGAAATACATCAGGTGTATCAGCACATTTACTAACAAGCTCCTCTCTGTTGACAGTGGTTAAACCAGAGTCACAATGCCTGTGTTAACTACTGCAACCGCAACGCCTCCAAGGTACTGTAACAGCAGTAAAGTGACCCACTCCCATTAAGGAGGTTCTGTATATTAGTTGTGAAATGCTTTCATATTGTAATCTCATTTACTTTTGACTTTAGCCGGCTCCAGTTTCTAAATTCGTCCAGGGATACCTCGGAGCGGTGACCAGCGCAGTCTCCATTGCTGTGAGTTCCCATAATACTTTCTGCTCTGACTGAGCAAGGCCCTGTGACTCCAGTCACTGGCTGGGTCACTTATTGATCCTTTATGCCTTTTAAACCAGGGGCAGACCAATATATCAGCATAATATTGGACTTTTTTCAACTGCTAGTAGAACTGGAGATTTCTTTCTACATAAAACGTTTGTAAAGCCTGCAATCAAATTGTTCTATTTTCAGACTTGATTGTCTAGTTGTGATATAAAAGGTTCCCCAGTCAGCTTGCTAACCCAATAAAATGTCATTATGACAGGAGTATATTTTTAGGTGAAACCAAATGCTTTTAATCGTTATGACAGGAAAATGTCCAAATCTGAAGAAACTGAATGTCAGCAGAAACATTTGAATACCAGCCTTCACAATACTCTTATCAGTTGAACCCTTTTTCTTACCTTTATGCCATCAAAGACTCAAATGTCAAAAGAGTATGATACGCGTTCACACACCTGCCTGACACAGCCCTTAGTGTGGACACAGGGCTCAAACCGAGCCAATTACTGGTCCCGCTGGGTGCTCATCCGGCTGCTGCCCTCAGGCTTGACAACGGCAACAAGCACAGAAAAAAATCGCGGGGTGCCTGGAGGGCGGAACGACGGGCGGAAAGGAGGGGGGGCTGGAGCTCTCCAATTAAACGTCCGCTCTGGTGACGACCCCCCGCCGGGCTGGGGACAGCCAGGGGCGTGTTGGTGTGTTATCTGAGAGCACATAGGGTTAAAATAAAGTGCAGTATTTGGTAGTTTATACACAGAGACAGACATTTTAGGTCACTTTTCTCCCGATTATACCATTTATGACACTTAAACGTTGGCTTGTTTGTTATGTCAGTGCTTTTCTGGGCTGAAACCGTGCACTCTGAAACACCAAAAACATGTTTATTCAAATATTCATTCAAAAGACTCAGTTTGTGTGTCTGGCTTTGCTTCAGGTTGGGTTGAACGTGTTAATCCAGAAAGCCAGCCGCTTCAGCCCAACTACCAGGCTTTTGGTGCAGAGGTTCATCCCCTTCCCAGCAGTGGGTGAGTTCAAAAAGCTCAGTGAAACATTTGAGGGGACGGACAGGCCCGGGATTAAGCCATGTTCTCTATTAAAATGGCCTTTTAAACTAAATTAAATTTGAGTTCACATTGGAGATTTGGTATAGTCTTGAGTAGGATGACTACAGTTTCTCCAGTCAATATATTATTTAGTTTTTTCTATTTTTGTATGTCAGTGCAAATTGCATTATAATATTTAGTGTCTTAACATGCACAATTAATTTGCCAGTATGATGACATTTAGTATGTAAAATTCAGCATGCTAATATGTTAAGATACATTTTAACAAGCATTTTTAGCATGATATCAAACAAACATGTAATGTATGTAACAAAATAATCTTAACTTGGGGTCCATTTATCAGCTTTTTGCAGAGGTTTCCAATGCTTGGAATAATTTTAAACATTTGATTTTGTATGTACTTTTATTATGTAGAGTAAGCATGCTAACACTTAGTGGAACATTTTAATGTCTAGCATGTTTATAAAAGTCTAAAACTCATTTTTGAGTCATCTTAAATAAAGGTATTGGAGAAGTGACTTCTTGATGGGGTTGATAAAAAAAATCAGACCATCATCATCATCAATTATGATCCTAAATATCACTGGTATCATAACATATGGACCAAAGTGTTACAGTAATTTAAAAAAATAAATAAAAAGGAGACATAAACAGACATTGTTGGATGTTTCATGCCTGTTTCCTTTCCTCTTGTTCTATTTCCATGATATGCGTCGTGTCTACGCTTCAGAGCTGCTCTGTGATCGTTAGAAGTCACTGTATGAGAGCCAAGCACAGCTGAGCGGTTTGCGTCGTTCTGTTCCTCACAGTCCGTTTTCCTCCGCAGGGTTACAGACGTGTTGTGAGCTCGCTTTGTCAGACGTGTGTGGAGCCACAAATCAGATTTCCCTGCCACTCTCCCACAAACACACAGTCACACCCAGGGGTATAGACCCGTGTCCCAGACTGCCCCGGGCTGCTGGCTCATAATTAAATTGTTTGCCTGCCCCCCCCGTTTCACCATGGCGGTTCTTTCAATTAAATCAACAGGTTTCTACAGCGCAGCCTTTGCCTAGTAATTGGCTGCTTGTTAGAACTCTGCTGCCGCAAACAAATTGGATAATTACCCCCAAAGTGGCGTCTATGTCAAGGCCTCATTTACCTGATTTCTGTTTGTTCATTGTGGTTGCTGTTGTTGTTCTGGTAGGGCCATATAAAAGGTAATTAAAATGGCTAATTGAAGCGAGCAAAGGCAAAGTGCTGTTTGAATTTTCACCCGCTTGATTTTGTTTGCTTACTTAAGGCTAGATTTATTTGTAATAACCTAATCAAGCAGCAGCCTGTCATTCATTTAGATTGTGAAGACTGTAACCGGAGGGGAAGACACGCCGGCAGAAATGTACAGGGATAATTAATTTGTTGTGTTTTGAAAATATTTGTCATCATTTGTGATATTTAAGAAGTAATTACGTGAAAAGTTCTTGGATGCATTTCCATGCGTGTACCACTAGATGACAATTAGAACGCACATAAATGTAATTATTTCAAATAATTACAAATTACAGCCACATATTTCCGCACTGAGCTGTACAGGCTGTGTCATTAAATTAATAAAGGCATCAAAGTAATTGTAAAATTTTATCGGTTATTGCAGTTATTTGCAAAATTTGATCTGTTTGCTGTAGTTTTTGTTATTCCTTGCCAAAATCCCACTATCTGTCCCTCTATTAATTGGTCTGGATAAAAAAAAAATCCCTTGTAGGTAAAAAGAGCTATTTGCTCAGTCAATTGAATTCCCCTCACAAAGCGACCTGCCAGCCCTGCAGCTCTTAGTAAAGATAACTCTGAACGCTGTTGTCTTAAATTAAAAAGGCTCGCGGCGCCACCACTAAACTCTCTAAAATGAGTTTTTCTTATTCCTATTAGAGTCAAGGAGAAAGGTCCATCTATATTAACATACATTTGTGTTCATTTTGGCCTTCGTGAATAAATCACAGGGTAAAAACACTGCTGTTTGTCGACCTCAGTCACCTTGGTTACGGCCTCTGCTGCTCGAGTCGAAGTCAGTCACACGGAGGCACCGCATCCAGTGTTGTGCATTATGACCCAGATGACACAGTGATGTACAACGTGTGGGCAGTTTCAGGGGTTCAGTGTCTTTCAGAGGGAGACTCGGTGGCAGTTATTGGTGTGTGAGAGTCTACTTTCATCACAGTATAAATGCTTTTTAAATATAAACTGAACACTAAACAACTCAAATCTGCAGCCAGAGGCAGATGGTGTGGGGTTTTTATCAGTTAATTAGTACAATGGTATTAAAAATTATTAATAATTCACATCAATCTGACATTATTTCCATTGTAATTCTACTGTATGTCAGTTACTTCATGTGATGTTAAAATGTGATACAGAAGCGTTTTCTGCTGCTTGCACTGCCTTGAATTTAAGGCCCATAATGTTTACGATGTTCACCAGCGTGCTAACATCTGCTGCTTAGCGCTAAACCCATTCGTTTTGCAGGCGTTTGGTGATCTAGCAATATTTTAATTTAAATCATTTTAAAGTTATTACAGTTCATCCTGAGAAGAACATGAATGTGTGGATCCACTTTGAGAAACGTTTGTCCTGCTACTTCGTGACCTGACAAATTCTTTAAGCTGTAAAAACAGTTTTCTCGGAACAGAATAATTCATTTAAAATACAGGCAGGATATTTTGTCCTGCTTATATTTTAAGTATTTTAAGTATTTTAAGTATTTAATAAACTAGGAAATGCAAAACTTGTGAGATCATGAAATTCTGAAATAGGAAATAAAATAAAATTCCCACAATCAACCATTCAAGGTGTTATCCGGTTAACAGTAGGCGACCTACCACAGTACCCTTGAGCAAGGAAGCACAGTTTGCCTGATCTTAAACCCCAGCCAGAGGGTGAAAAGACAATATGTCAAATTCCTAAAGGTGAGACACTTTAATTTTTAAAAAAACATTCCCACGTCTTTACAGCGAGTGCAAACGTCTGCAACGTGGTGCTCATGAGACACTCGGAGCTGTCGGAGGGCATCAACGTGCTCGACGACAACGGGAACGTGGTGGGAACATCAAAAGTGGCTGCCAGGCATGTATGTCACTCTTTATCTGATGGGAGTTCTTCAGGTGCAGTCGGTTTATTAATTGATGTAATGTTTAACTGTAAATGATGAGGAAGTGGGTTTACACATGAAACATGAAAATAATTTAAATCATTGATGTTTCTTCCTGGATAAAAAGCTTTATTTCTTTATTTTATTTTTGTGACAGGCACTTTTAGAAACAGCTGTGACCAGAGTGGTCCTACCCATGCCCATCCTGGTGCTCCCTCCCATGATCATGGCTGTACTGGAAAAGTAAGAGACTGCATTATTTTTTTATCTTTCATGAACTGGTCAGTTTTCTCTCACTTAATGAGCTTTTTTTTTTTAACTCTACTAAGAGACTAGATGGAAAGCTTTTAACCTGTCGATGCTGCAAAGTGTTGATTTTGAATTTTTTAACAAATTTAAGTTAAATATAATAATAAAATATGTTTCCAGCTTCACTACCCTGTCTGAAACTCTCAGGCCTGAGCCCATTTGTTCCTGCTGAAGGTGTAAATCTTGTTGTTTCATAAGAAAGGGGGCAGTAATTTCCTAAAACAGCTGGGCATCAACACACATTTAGGTTCTCAAGTGAGCCTTGACAGCAGCAGGGTGGTGTATGTGGGATGGACTCATGGTAATAACTGAATATGTGACACAGTTGATGTGTTTTTAACAACAATGGAGCTCTATGGCACAGAAAAATGAGCTATATCAGGCATTGGCTACACGGGTAGTACTTGTGGTTTTGGTGTTTTTATGAGATTTGTTGCCAGCAGGAAAAATATAGAACATGACCAGACTTTTTAATTTAACGCAATAACAATTAAGATCCTCATTTTCCTTATTTGAGAGTGTGGTCAGTTCAAACCTTGTACATCCACAGAGACAAATAACATAGAGACACTCAGTTTAGACTCAAATGTGCTTCAGTTATTTCAGCCTGGATTTTCTGCTGGTGGCGGTTCTGTAGTAAATTGCATCACTTAATGTGGGCAAAAGCATTTTTCACAAGAAAAGAGGCCGAAACTCTGTACATGTTCGTATCAGTCCGTGTTACAGAAGACCATTTTCTTAATGAAAAAAGTAAAAAATTAATGCTGTAATGAAAGTAGTGAAGGTTTTAGTGTTCTGGTATAATACAAGTTAGATTAATTAAAAAAGAAAACTACCTCTAATTAAATGACAATTCATAAATTAATAATAAAAATGTCATAAACTTTAATATTGTGAATATTACAGACAGAATTCAGAACTGCTGTTGTAGTCGATGAACCCTCCCCCCCCCACTGAGATTCAGTGTTGTGTGATATGACTGTAATTATGTCTTAATGATGCAATGTGTTTATACGCACGTCCTGTGATCGATGGCCTGACTGTGCCTGCGGTGTGCCGAGGAATGCAGCCATCTTTGTAAATCCTTGACAGCACTTGTCCCAACCGCTCCGAGCAGGCGGGCTCAGACGGCGGGGGCCGGCTGCCCAGGTGTGTTTGGGATTCCTGGCAGCAGAGAGAGAGAGAGAGGAGAGGAGCAGAGAGAGGAGAGATCGAGAGAAGGGAGGGCAGGCGGAAGGAGGGAGAGAGGGAGAGTATGTGACAGTGTACAGAGGGCTGTGAGGTTGACTGTGGTTGCAGGTGAGTAGTGCTCAGCTATCCTCTATGTCAGCTTGCCTTCACTGGCTCTCAATGGAGCGAGAACAAGGGGACAGAGACGGGTCCCTGTGCGGCCCCTCAGTGATGGATTACACTGCTGAGAGCAGATTTAGGGCAGTGACAGCAGGTTCTGTCCTTCATGTGCTCCAGTTGCTGTGAGAGGTTAGAGATCCATAAGTGTATTCAGACTTAGTTATTTGTTGTGTGTATAAGCTAAATCTACCTGCACAGAGATTCTCCATTTCAGCCCAAATACCTCGGTAACCGGACTGGGGGTCCAAGCTCATACTGCTTAGTATCTAAAATATCTCCAGTTCAGTTAATGTTCAGTCTCTGTGTTTTAGTTATATGAAAGTAAGGGCTGACAAAATGGATACAATCTTGTATTTATATAAATAATAATAATAATATATATCTGGATATATATAGAAACTGAAATATGATAGAAACTGTTTATAGTTGCTTTTGCAGGAGAACCCATTGTAAAGGCAAATGATTGGTTTCAGAAGTGTGGGGCCACATTTATTGGACCAGTGTGCAGGATTTAGTGGCATCTAGTGGTGAAGTTGCAGTTGGCAACCAACTGAACACCACTCGTGTCGGTATTTGACGACTTGGGAATGAGAACGGGCTGTGAAATGTGTATGAGAAACTACAGTGGCTGTGAATATATATAGGACAAACGTGAAAGGCCCTTTCTGTTGCAAATATGGGGAAAACTCTTGAACTATTGACAAATAATCAATCTCTACAACAGCTACTGTATCTGAACTACACCCTCTACTGCTGACAAAGAAACGCCTTCTAGATTTTAGTTAACTCTAAATCTAAAATAACTCTAATCACCCCCACCTCCTTCATGAGGTGTTTGTTTAGTGTAGAAATTAGAAAGCTGCTGTACTGTATCTCTGTATATACAGTGCAGCAGGCTCTGCAAGACTAGAAAATAACTGAACAAAGATTAAATAAGCTCTATATTTGATTACAGCTTTATTTCCATCACATTTATTTGTTGTGTTCATGCAAACATAGACTCACATTTAGCTACTACATAGAACAAATCATGTGCAGCCTATCTATGGCTGCTATTGCTCTTGGATTTCAGAAATGTGGTGTTTTGTCGCAGCCATTCAGTGGCATAGTGTTGTATCTGACACAACACCAGTCAGCAGGGATGTTCTATTAATTGGTCTTCTCATGGGGACCGGGAGGCTCAGTCACGCTGTCAGAGGTTCATGTAAACATTTAAACCTGGGTACGACCTCAGCCAGAATATGGCCACTAGCCAGGTTATTCGGTGCATGTAAACACAGCCACTACTGCATGAATTTGTGCCATTAATTGTAGGATAATATCAAGTTTTTCACCTAATTCAGAGGTTTTCAAACTTACATGTGTGTGCAAGCTTTCCTTCATCTCTCACATCGCACATATCTCACAACTTTTCTCCCATTGACTTTTCCCTTTGTAATCCATTTCTAAAATGTGTATCTGAACGTTTGTGTGTGTGTGTGTGTGTGTAGCCTAATTAAACCATGGCAGCCATATGTGTTAATGAGCTCCCTCATTAGGCAGTAGCTGTCCTCGTTAGGGGGAGAGGCGTCGCTGGTGGAGGAGAGATGGAGCGGCTCTTTCTCAAGCTCCTGCTGAGTTCGCTGTCCCACACACTGAAGAGGGGATTATCCTACGGAGGGCAGCGAGGAGGGAGGAGAAATATGGGCTGAGACGAGAAAATATATTTCTGGAGATAGATCTTTAAAAAGTCTTTAAAAAGCTTTTGCAGTTCATGTCAATACTTTTGAACTAATTACAATAAAAGTGTATGGGATTATGCATATAGGAGTTATTTAAGTTAACACAACAAACAAATGACCGTGTAAGATTGAACTTTAAACTGGAGGTTAATGAATTTAAGTAGTTTTAAATGCTTACAAAAGTCTTTACAGCTGATTCGGCTGTTGGTTGTCGGGTCAAACTTTGCATGAACAAAAAATCACTTTCTGGATTTTAAAAGAAAGTTTGGCAATTCAGTGTAATGATGCATTTCATTGGAAGTTTGTGGTTTCCTGTTGGTTCTTTGAGCTAAATGTCCCTTAAGAGATGCCATTGGAACTGTAATTGAGCAGCTAATTTGTGTTTTTTCATGTTAGTCAAATTAATTTCTAATAAAAACTCTGATTTGTTGACCTACTTATCCACAGGAAATGTATCATCTTTCTAACCACAGGTTAATAATCTAGGGAAGTGTAACATGTCCAACATGTTTCTGCATTGTGGCTTAAATGGAGGTTATACTTTGCTTAGATTTGATACTTCCTGTTCAGTGACCATACTCAAACCTGAAATTGGTTTTGGCAAACAGGACGAGTTTACTCCTCTTAACTGTATTGTATTTAGTGTTTTAACCCCTGAAAGCTTTCGAAATGTTTGCCTGCCTTGATGATCTAGAAAATCAGGATCTGCTGAATGCACATATTGATTGAATAGTTAATGTATATTTGTTGACTGTATATTCAGGCCACTGTATATTGAATTCAAGAGCTAGACTGATCAATTACCTGGGCCAGTGTGTTTGTGTGAAAAAAACAAAGAAAATATCAGTGTATCAAATTTTTAAAATCAATAATTGTAATGAGCACAGTGTAAGTTTGTGGTAGAATCACCCCCAGTGCCACCACAACACATCTGGTGAATAAAGTAATAAACAGTATTAATGTCTCCTCTGTGTCCCACCAGGCTTCCTCTCCTGCAGAGACACCGGAGGCTCGTCCTGCCCGTCCACAGCCTGGTGTGCCTGGCCGCCTTCGGCCTGGCTCTGCCTCTCGCCATCAGTCTCTTCCCACAGATGTCTCAGGTACATCATCCCACAAAACTTTCTCTTCTACTGAAGAATATGTATTTCCTCTTAGAATGATTATTTCATAGGGTATTAAAGTGTCTTCTTACACTGATTTGTTTATCTACAATATTCTTTTTTTTTTTTTTGTCTCCATCTGTGGTCATAAATTATCTTTGCTTTGGTGTTTCTACACTGCAATAATCAACTGTCAATCAAACCAAAGCTTTCTGTTCAAGTTTAAGGTCCCTTCAAGTGGCCCTTTTTCTTCATCTTTCCACCCATACTGTCTGTCACTCCTTATGTTAACTAATGAGTCCTTCAATGATTCATTACGGATAAAGAGCTGCTGCTATTATCTTTCTTCGAAAGGGCTGTCAGACAGTTGTAAATGTAAAAGCCTTCATGGACTGGGTTTAGGTTTAACCCGTATTGTGTTATATTATTTGAAAACAAGACAACAGTAATTATATCAAACATCATGGATGAATTAGCCCATGTGGTTGTTGTGGTTGTTGTGATTACAGTGGCAATGCTCAGAGAACTTAACTCAGTAAATATCAGAATCATCGTCACAGTCCATTGTGATACCAAGAGCTTCTTGTTTTCACTTCTTCACATCCTGACTGTATTAAATGTCTGCTTTGCTCAGGTCTGCCACGACTCGCTCTCAGTGACTGATGTTGATGACCGGAGTCTTCTGACCTCTTTAACGTTCCCCATTGAGCTTTATAGAGGCTCTCTCCTAATGAGGCGTAGCCCTCTGAGACTTAACCTGCTCTGTTACGATCTGCCCAGAGCCGCTACTGCCTTCATTCATTGATGCCATCCAGGCTAGCAGGCTGATATCTAACTTTAGCCTTATTACCTCAATATGTGTCATTCTACTCATTAAATGGCCATGGCATGATTTTCTTTTTCACTCCATCTCTCTCTTTGTCTTCTCTGCCAAATGACTTGCTGACACGAGCCAACCAGCTCTGGCTTTAAAATGTTTAGGATTTAATTACCACTGGAAATAGCTAAGACAGCCATATGGCAAAAAACTTCAGACATATGTGCCGCCAACAGTCCTGTGAAAAAGCTGCCTCCCGTTCCACGGAGGGGCCTGTTTTTCTCTCACAAGTCCTTTTTGCACTTTCACAAGAATAGCAGATGAAAAAAAAAGAACTCCCCAAAACGCAACATGAATGCCCTGTTCCAATGGACCCCCCGCCTACTCAATTTGTCCCACTTCCCCATTTCACACCTACCAAGATGTCTGATTAGGATTCTGCCTCCAACTCCAACAGCCATCTGTCTCTGGTTCAAATATTAGGAGATGCAAACCTCAAATTAGACTTTAATCTGCCAAATTGGCTCTTTTTGCACATTAGCAGTAAATACAGAACATTTAAAGCTTTTAAGAATTATTTAGTTACAAATGAAACTGTTTCAAATCTTTAAGTAGCAGCTCACGTCAATGATTATGGATGCACGTATACAGCATGTACATACAGTATGTGATGATGTTCTATCGTACAATGACATAATATTTTCCATTTTTTCACGATTGACCTTTTTGTCCTGCTTTGATTGCCACAGATCAGCGTGAATCAGCTAGAGCCGGAGATCGCCATGGCAACAGATTGTAAGATTGTGACGTACAATAAAGGCCTGTGAGTGATCTCGACTGCCCGGCGCATGAACACAGGACCCGCCGCTCGTCACCGGTTCAAACGCCCCGAAGCTGCCAGAGAATGAATTATGGTAAATTTGGCTGTGTTATCCAGTGAGCAGTTAGCATATGTTTACAGAGGGAGGCAGTTAATATGTTGTTTACGCCAGGACAATGGTTGTTAAATAAGCAATAACACATGATGACATATTGTGATATAGGAAAATATACATGATCACACCTTGGCGAGCATATCTGTTTTCTGTTATATCTTGGAATACCAAATAACTCGAAGATTAATGGAAGACTTTTCTTGATCCATCTAGTTAGTGTGCTATTTTCAGCAGAGAGAGGGTAGCAGCTAATTTATGAGCTTTTAAGTAGAGATTAATTTTCATAAACATGAGGTAAAATAGGGGAATGAAGATAGGAGCAGGACATGTCTTATTGTTTGCAGTTGTCTGGATTGCGTTTAAATACTGTGAATGAAATCAGGATAAATGACTTAAATTAATTTTATATTGTTTATAAATTAATACAGGAGTTCCCAACCTTATCAATATTCAATATTTACCTATAGGTAAATGGGGCTGCACGATATGGTCAACAATTGATGGTGATTCACGATTATGTGGGATTTACAATTTTCAACCATGATAATGATCCAAAATTGAATTTTCACAAAAAAAAAACAAAAAAACAACAGCTATTAAAATCATGATGATCTGATCCGGAAAACAAGATTTGTAGACCAGTGCACCTCTGCAGCACTACAGTACTTATATATTATTACTCATTATAATGCTGTTTGTCACACATTTTTTTTTACCTGTAACCAATACCATATGTTACATGTCTTTAAGTTGGGAGCCGTTCAATCAAAGTTTGATTTTCTCCTCTCAGATTGTTTCATAATATATCTTTGAAGGGCCTGAAAGGGTGAAACTACAGTACTTCACATAAAAGAAAAGTCCTAAAATAAACGTTGTTTTGTTTATCAGAAATAATTTCTTTCTTATTTCCTACCTGGACAATCATATTGAAACCTACTACATTAATCTTGTGACCCCTCGTAGTGGTCTTGATTTAGTGGATGCAGAAACTCTAGCCAAATGGAAAGCGTTGTTTTAGTAAAGTATTTTTCGTGAGGTATGAGGTTATAGCAGGTTATTTCTGTTGCATTATTAAAGACAAACTAAACCTTAAACTTAGGCCACCAGTAACTCTATTTCAAATGTACCCTAAATGTGACACATTCCTTTTAAACTCCACTGTGAACTGTATAAAGAAAAGATCAGAGTAACTTTAAATCCCAATATTGGCTTTGGCTCTCTCAAACTGGAATCTGGAGGTTGAGTCACTCATGTAATAAAACAACTGCTGTTGGTTGTAGTTTGATGCCTGTAAAATGATTCATCTTCCAGATTTGCTGAAACTATAAAACTCACAGTAAAATAAGGAGATTTCTAAAAGCATTGTTGTTAAAATGCTGCTCTGTCTTTTTTGTATGTATTTGTATGATTTATATAAACTTTTCTGTCTTCGAGTATTATCTTTTGTCACGATCTGTGTGATTAGCATGTTTGCACGGTTACTAAGGGAACGCAGCACGGTAGGCTGCGATACAGCGTAATTCAACAAGAAGCCACATGCAGGATGAGTGGAGGATGCTGGGTGGAAGTTGTGGCACACAACCCGGGTGAGACAAATAAAAACAAAACACTGAACACACTAGTTTAAATACGTCAGATTTTTCAGGGTTTTGCTTTTCTTTCTCGCATGATTAGCATCACATTTGGTTGAATTTCACTCTGTAATGCTCAGATTATACAGAAATATTTCCTGATTTTGTTTCCTTTGGACTATAACAATTTAGCTCATAACTTCAAATAATAATCCAGCGAGTTCAGTTTTAATACCAGTTTTCTAGAGATGCTTTTTGCATTTTTTAAATTTAACGTTTGTATCTTCTGTCATAACTTTTGAACACAGATATTTCAAAATGATATACAAATGAAAAACAAATGTTATCTGATCTCCGCTGCACTCTGGTTTAATTGTCAGTGTCAGAATTGTATGCAAATATCTCAAATTAGGTAATTAAAGTAATAGTCATTTTAAAAATAATTTCTTATTATCTTTCTTTTTCTGTAATTAGGTTGTGATTGTTAATTCAGTGCTGCTTGACTGAAACTGATGCAATGTGACAACTGTGACTACACTGCATGATTTATCGCTCAACATGCAATTTTATAACCAACAATAAATCACAAAGTGTGAGGTGAGAAAATGTGAGGCTTCAGTCATCTCACAGACAACAAATAATCAGGCAATAATGATTAAAGCAGCCGTTTCAGACCAGTTTTCCAACACCTTTGCAGCAGCAGCAGCAGCAGCAGCAGCAGGGATCTGGCGGCTCGTGCCCCACCTGGCAGCTCTCTGCTCCTCTGGAGACTCTTGTTTTTCACGATGGATTCCTGCTCTCATCTTGAACTCTCATCTGTGCTGACTCAGGAGACAGGAGACAAAGTGTTTAGGGAGACGGGTGTGATTTTCCTCTTAATTGTTTTACCTAACCAAGATGTGGTTGGCCTTAACCAAAGGCTGCTTATAGTGCGTTGAGTGTCTCAGTGAGCCACCGCACTGGTTAATATGCACCTTTGGTGGTGTTTATTTGGGTAATAAGGAATGCTGAATCTCTTTTAACATGTTTTTGCACCTGCAGTGAGTATAGGATATCCTGGAAACTCAAAACAAGGCATGTGGCCCCCGTTGCAACTGCAGATGTCTGGCATATTGTGTGGCTTTTGTAAGAACTACTGCAGTGTATTTTAGTTTCCCTCCCCCCCCCCC